ACAATACTACAGCGAGGATAAAAGTTACGCCTTCTTTCTTTGATTGAACATTTGGGCGGCGTTATGCAAATCTTCCCACATAGTGACGTAGACATGTGGGGGCGTGTTAGAACGAGCCGTTTTAGGTAGGCGTGGTTGACTCTTAACTTTTATAAAGAATATCTCTTTGGATTTGAGACTTTAGTCTTTGCAACTTTACAGATCTTCTTTATGTACCAAGAGCTTGTAACACTCCAAAAAGAAAGGAAAAAATTGAAATCGCATCATATGACCCCTTTAAAGAAATGACATGTAAAAAAGAGGCTATTTCCAACATGTTTTGCCTGATATAGATGTTCAGATGATATCGGCTTTAAACTCAGGTTCCCACATGGCGTCCTACTCTTCTCATGGCAGTTTCACTGGATTTTATCTGAGAGCACACAGACACAGCTGTGCCCTTCGCTTCAACAGTAAAATGGCTGTCACATAATATCAGTGAGTTCTCGCCCTCACAGGCTGTTTCTATGTCTCGCACTATCAGTGCCTGTTTCTGATTACGCATACATAACATAATATTTATTTATGTAAACAGCTCTGGTGTGATGTAGGCCTATATTGATCTGCAAATATCTAAATATCTAAATTTTAGATAAAGCTAAATATCCACCTCTACTGTATGTATGTATAGGTAGATATAGATAGATGATAGATAGATCTGTATGGCTCATTGGACGAATGACACTGTGAATATGAGTAGATTCTGGTTCTATTTTAGTTTTAATAAACCAGAACTGGAGCCATACAATATGTTAGTGGACATATGTCAGAAATGCATTTGTTTGCATTTTCTTTTATGATTTATTGAAAGTTGCACTAAGATATAGTCAGAGTCTGAGCCTTGCTTTTGTTGGTTTCCCCCTTTTTTGTAATTTCTTTCATTGTATGTCCCCCTTTTTGATGACTAGTTTGATGCTACATTTGAAAAAAAAAAAGCATCTGTTTACTTAATTAGGCATTTATTGAAATCTACTTGTGGAAAACTTGAATACTGGTAATAATTATAAAAAAAATAGTAATAGCTCAGATCTTGTCCGTTGTGGTAATCAAACTATAAAATAATATTCTTGTTTTCCTGCACTGAATCTTTTTCTCTATATTAGGCCAGTCTGTTCATTATTTTTATGTTTAATGAAAATGTCTGAAAATATACTGAGAGTCACCAAAGACTGTGTAGTAGACTGGGTAACATTGCTCCTGTCAATGGGCGGTCAAGATGTACCCTGCTCCACTTAAATGTCACATTTTTCATCAAGCGTACCACAGATTAGTCACCATGACTGACAGCACATCCTTTCACCTGCCGCCTATCTGCTAGCTGAATGGACATCTCTGGTGTCACTGTCTCAGACGAGTGGATGTCTTTGATATAACGTGGATAAAAGTCTGCGCGTGTCCTTTCTGAAAGAGAGCGACTGACTTGATGTGCGTGTCACGTGGCCTCTCTTCCCACTGAGGGATTCTTTACTACAATGTAAGGAGGGAACAGAATGCTAAATCGCTGCAGTCTACGTCACTTCTCACACATGGGGGACTTATCTCCATGGCAACCGGCATGCCAGGGTGTCCTAGCGATGATCCCAAACCAGCTGAATGAAATGGAATTATTTAATGGAAGCATAATTCACATTTGCCCTTTCTAGTTGCAAGGAGTTTCCAAATCATGATCTGGTTAGTCTTGAGGAATTATAAATCTGTGTCACCCAGGTCGTTTATGATAGATTACACATGTAAGTGGTATTCGGAGGTTCTGTCTTTTTGCTGTTGAAAGAGATTTGCTTTAAATCAGTAAAGTCGCTCTGGCATAGAGGAAAAGGGTCGAGAGGGACGATAGAGAGGAGAAAAAGAGCAGGAGATCTCCATTTCTGGTTTATTTCTGGCCTGCACCCTGCAGCTCCCACCCGCCTACCCTCTGCCCACTTGGCTGGTGGCCGCATGCTAATGATGTCATTCTTTCAAGCCATCTCTTCAGCTGACCTTTTGACCCTGTCAGCAGAATTGAAGCGGTATTAGTGATATTTTAAAATATGAAAAGCATGGAGGCTTTGCTTTAGGAGGTGGTTTCCACGAATATGGGTATAGCTCTTAGGGTAAATAATAGACCTGAAACCTGAAAAAGTTTATTTATTTTTTTCTTATTCATGAGATGGCCAGTCAAAGAAGATGCCTTATGCACCTCTTAGGAGGTCAGATAAATACTACATGAATTGTATTTTTTCCTATTCAGTTTATATTTACATTTTTTTCTTCAGTTCTGTTACTGAAATTTGGGATGAAAGTTTTTGAAATTTACTGAAATTTTTGTCTAATGTTGAAATACAGTTTTGTGTGAGTTTGAATTAAATAAAAAATAAATAATGTTGTTTTATATTAATAATATAAAATATGTTATAGCTATTCTACTTTTATTATATATCAAATATATAATATTCTATTATATTTTAATATATTTAAATTATTTGTTCTTGTGAAGACACAGCTACATTTTCAGCAGCCATTGCTCTAGTCTTCCAGTCTCACATGATTCTTTAATAATTGTTTTATTTATAATCAAATCTATATTTATAATCAAATCTAATGTGCTGATTTTTCCTGTTATCAATGTTAAAAACAGTTGTTGTGTTCTTTTTTTTCTTATTTTTTTCTGGATT